TCTAAAACTTTAATTATTTAATTTTTTAAAAACTTTTAGATTCCTGGGCAAGACGGCTAAATAGGAACAGCTCCCGTCTGCAAAACCAATGCAGAAGGCAGGTGGTTTCAGCATTTCCAACTGAGGTACCTGGCTCTTCTCACTGGGACTGGTTAGACAGTAGTGCAGCCCATGGAGGGTGAACTGAAGCAGAGTGGGGTGTTGTCTCACCTGGGAAGTGCAAGGGGTGCGGGAACTCCCTCCCCTAGCCAAGGGAAGTGGTAAGGAGTTGTGCCTATCTCACACACAAAGACACATATTGGCTCAAAATAAAGGGATGGAGGAAGCAAGCAAATAGAAAGCAAAAAAAAAAAAAAAAAAAAAACAGGGGTTACAATCCTAGTCTCTGATAAAGCAGACTTTAAACCAACAAAGATCAAAAAAGACAAAGAAGGGCATTACATAATGGTAACAGGATCAACACAACAAGAAGAACGAATTATCCTAAATATATATGCACCCAATACAGGAGCACCCAGATTCATAAAGCAAGTTCTCAGAGACCTACAAAGAGACACAGACTCCCACACAGTAACAGTGGGACACTTTAACACCCTACTGTCAGTATTAGTCAGATCAACCGGACAGAAAATTAACAAAGACATTTGGGACTTGAACTCAGCTCTGGACCAAGAAGACCTAATAGACATCTACAGAATTCTTCACCCCAAATCAACAGAATATACATTCTTCTCAGCAACACATAGCACTCATTCTAAAACTGACCACATAATTGGAAGTAAAACACTCCTCAGCAAATGCAAAAGAATGGAAATCGTTAACAGTCTCTCAGATTACAGTGCCATCAAATTAGAACTCAGGATTAAGAAACTCACTCAAAACCAATCAACTGCACGGAAACTGAACAACCCGCTCCCGAATCACTACTGGGTAAGTACCAAAATTAAGGCAGAAATAAAAAAAGTTCTTTGAAACCAATGAAAACAAAGATAGAACTTACCACAATCTCTAGGAAATAGCTAAAACAGTTTTTAGAGGGAAATTTACAGCATTCAATGCCCACAGGAGAAAGCGGGAAAGATCTAAAATCAACACCCTAACATCACATTAAAAGAACTAGGAAAGCAAGAACAAACAAATTCAAAAGCTAGCAAAAGGCAAAAAAAAAAATAATAATAATAATAATAAGTAAGATCAGAGGAGAACTGAAGGAGATAAAGACATGAAAACCCCTTTAAAAAAATCCGTGAATCCAGGAGCTGGTTTTTTGAAAAGATTAACAAAATGGGTAGACCGCTAGCCAGACTAATAAAGAAGAGAGAATAAAATTAGACACAAGAAAAAATGATTAAAGATCACCACTGAGCCAACAGATACACAAACTACCATCAGAGAATACTATAAATACCTCTATGCAAATAAACTAGAAAATCTAGATGAAATGGATAAATTAATTCCTGGACACATACACCCTCCCAAGACTAAACCAGAAAGAAGTTGAATCCCTGAATAGATCAAAAACAAGTTCTGAAATTGAGGCGGTAATTAATAGCCTACCAACCAAAAAAAGCCCAGGACCAGAAGGATTCGCAGCTGAATTCTACCAGAGGTACAAAGAGGAGCTGCTACCACTCCTTCTGAAACTATTCCAAACAATAGAAAAAAAGGGAATCCTCCCTAACTCATTTTATAAGGCCAGCATCATCCTGATACCAAAAACTAGCAGACACAACTGAAAAAGAAAATTTCAGGCCAATATCTCTGATGAATATCGATGTGAAAATCCTCAATAAAATACTGGCAAACCGAATCCAGCAGCACATGAAAAAAGCTTATCCACCACGATCAAGTGGGCTTCATCCCTGGGATGCAAGACTGGCTCAACATACGCAAATCAATAAACCTAATCCATCACATAAACAGAACCAATGACAAAAACCACATGATTATCTCAATAGAGACAGAAAAGGCCTTCGATAAAATTTAACACCCCTTCATGCTAAAAACACTCCATAATTTAGGTATTGATGGAACAGATCTCAAAATAATAAGAGCTATTCATGAAAAACCCACAGCCAATATCATACCAAATGGGCAAAAGCTGGAAGCATTCCCTTTGAAAACTGGCACAAAACAAGGATGCCCTCTCTCACCACTCCTATTCAACATAGTATTAGAAGTTCTGGCCAGGGCAATCAGGCAGGGGAAAGAAATAAAGGATATTCGAAAAGGAAGAGAGGACATCAAATCATCCCTATTTGCAGATGACATGTTCGTATATTTAGAAAACCCACCGTCTCAGTCCAAAAGCTCCTTGTGTTGATAAGCAACTTCTGTAAAGTATCACGATACAAAATCAATGTGCAGAAATCACAAGCATTCCTATACACCAATAATAGACAAACAGAGAGCCAAATCATGAGTGAACTCCCATTCACAATTGCTACAAAAAGAATAAAATACCTAGGAATATAACTTCCAAGGGATGTGAAGGACAAACCACTGCTCAAGGAAATAAGAGACGACATAAACAGACAGAAAAACATTCCATGCTCATGGAAAGGAAGAATCAATACCATAAAAATGACCATACTGCCTAAAGTAATTTATAGATTCAATGCTATTCCCATCAAACTACCATTGACTTTCTTCACAGAATTAGAAAAAACTATGTTAAATTTCATGTGGAAGCAAAATAGAGTCCATATAGCCAAAACAATCCTAAGCAAAAAGAACAAAGCTAGAGGCATCACACTACCTGACTTCAAACTATGCTACAAGGCTATAGTAACCAAAACAGCATGGTACTGGTACCTAAACAGATATATAGACCAATGGAACAGAGCAGAAGCCTCAGAAATAACACCACACATCTACAAGCATCTGATCTTTGACAAACCTGACAAAAACAAGCAATGGGGAAAGAATTCCCTATTTAATAAATGCTGTTGGGAAAACTGACTAGCCATATTCAGAAAACTGAAACTCCTTACACCTTATACAAAAATTAACTCAAGATAGATTAAAGATTTAAATGTAAGACCTAAAACCATAAAAATTCTAGAAGAAAACCTAGGCAATACCATTTAGGACATAGGCATGGGCAAAGACCTCAAGACTAAAACTCCAAAAGCAACGGCAACAAAAGCCAAAATTGACAAATGGGATCTAATTAAACTAAAGAATTCTGCGTAGCAAAAGAAACTATCAACAGAGTGAACAGCAACCTACAGAATGGGAGAAAATTTCTGCAATCTATCCATCTGACAAAGGGCTAATATCTAGAATCTACAAGGAATTTAAACAACTTTACAAGAAAAAACCCCGTCAAAAAGTGGCCAAAAGATATGAACAGACATTTATGTGGCCAACAAACATATGGAAAAAAACTCATCATCACTAGTCATTAGAGAAATGCAAATCAAAACCACAATGAGATATCATCTCATGCTAGTTAGAATGGTGATCAATAAAAAGTCAGGAAACAACAGGTGCTGGAGAGGATGTGGGGAAATAGGAGAGCTTTTACACTGTTCGTGGGAGTGTAAATTAATTCAACCATTAGAAAGACAGTGTGGTGATTTCTCAAGGATCTAAAACTAGAAATACCATTTGACCCAGCAATCCCATTATCAGGTATCTACCCAAAGGATTATAAATCATTCTACTATAAAGACACATGCACACATGTTTATTGCAGCACTGCTCACAATAGCAAAGAGCTGGAACCAACCCAAATGCCCACTAAAGATAGACTGGATAAAGAAAATGTGACAAATATACACCATTAAATACTATGCAGCTATAAAAAGTGAGTTCATGTCCTTTGCAGGGACATGTGTGAAGCTGGAAACCATCATTCTCACCAAACTAACATAGGAACAGAAAACCAAACACTGCATGACCTCACTCATAAGTGGGAGTTGAGCAATGAGCACATATGGGCACAAGTAGGGAAACATCACATACTAGGGCCCATCCAGGGGTGGGAAGCAAGGGGAGGGATAGCATTAGGAGGAATACAGGAATACCTAATGTAGCTGATGGGTTGATGGGTGAACAAACCACCATGGCACATGTATACCTCTGTAACAAACCTGCATGTGCTGCATATGTATCCCAAAATTTAAAGTATAATTTTAAAAAAGAAATTTTTATGAAAAAAAAATTAGACTTTACTTAAAGTGCCTAAATCTTGAATGCTAGTTCAATAAATTTTGTTTTCTTTCATTTTTTCTTTTGAGACAGTCTCATTCTACCACCCAGGCTGGGAGCACAGTGGCACCATCTCAGCTCACTGCAACCTCCACCGCCTGGGTTCAAGCAATTTTCCTATGTCAGTGTTACAAGTAGGTGGGATTCAGGTGCCCACCACCATGTCCAGCTAATTTTTGTATTTTTATTAGAAATGGGGTTTCACAATGTTGGCAAGGCTGGTCTTGAACTCCTGACCTTGAGTAATCTGCCTGCCTCAGCCTCCCAAAGTGCTGGGATTATAAGTGTGAGCCACCACCCTCAGCCTCAATGAATGTTTATACATACAGCTCCCCTCAGTATCCTCAAGAATTGATTCCAGGATCCACACAGATACCGACATCCACAGATGCTCAAGTCCTTTATGTAAAATGGTGTAGTAACTGCATATAACCTATGCACAATCCTCCCCAATAGTATAAATCATCTCTAGATTGCTTATAATACTTAATTAAATGTAAATGCTATATAAACAGTAACCTGTATTATTTTTTATTTTTGTATTGTTGGTTATTTTTTTCTAAATATTTTCTATTCATGGTTGGCTGAATCCCCAGATCCAAAACCCACAGATATGGAGAGCGAACTGTATATTCATCCATGTAACTACCGCCTAAATGAAGATATAGACCTAAAGCTAGATTTGAAAGTTTTATTGAAAAAGAAGGAAAAAAAAGCCAAGAGATTAAGTACTACTGCTCCTCTAAACCAAAAGGATTTTATCTACCTAAATTTTATTTTCATACCTCAAATTCATCTTGAGTACTATGGACATTGCACCATCTAGCAACAGGTTCAGGAACCACTTCCCAATCTTCACACACTTTTTTCAGGATATTTACAAATGTTGACTTCCCTGCAGCTGTTGTAAGAGAGATAAAATGAGGAAGAAAAGTTGTCAGGAAAAAAAGACGTCAAATAATCATCAGCTTTTGCAAGATTTACAATAGCAAGCAACACAAAAAACCCAAAACGTTCCATTTTCTAAACTTTATATTTCTTTAAATGAAAATGAAAAGGCTCCCTGACCAATTTCATTAAGCACATTTGTTTGTTATTATGTTCACTTTAATAATACATTATATTTAATAGTAGGGACAGTCTTGATCTAGAAGCAATACTCCTAATGGGCACCACACCCTGTATATCTGAAGTCACCAAATGTAGTTACATTAGACATCTCTGGTTAGCAAAATGTTTTCTATCTTTCGCTCTCTGTGTGCACGCACACACACACACACACACACACACAGATGAACATACAAATAACTTCAATATACTTACAAGCAAAGCTTCCTCTTCCTTATAAGTTAGATCTATAGAGAGTAAAAAGAACTTACCTTTGACTTGCAGAACTATATTTAAATCTAGGACATTAGATAGGGCAATAGAAAAGAAGAAAAAACTAGAAGAATCTTAAAGAATCACATACAGAGAAAAAAAAGGGAGGGAGGCAGTAAATAAAAAAGTGACACAGGGAGACAGTTTAGAAGAAAAACACAGTCAATTGTCTCCAGAATAGAGGAGAAAAACTTTTAAGGATAATCTGGATGACTATTAGATTTAGTCATGGGAAAAACACTGACCACCAAAATTTAGCATGGAGAGTGTAAGCTTAGGGACTTTAAGACACTTAGAAGAATGTTAAGTGGAAGTGGAAGCATATAGTTCACATTCACTGAACTAGATGGAAGAGGGAAAGGGAACATGATGTTCAGAAAGAACACCCAAGGAACACATTTAAAAATTAGGCATCCACTCGAGTCTGAAAGCACTTAGGGCTAGAGCATTCAACTTTCTTCTGAGACTGCTTACAAGAAGAAAAAGTTCTGAGGTCATACTTTAAAAGTCTAAGAGTAATAACGGTTACATTTAGTTCAAGCAGAGTAGTAATAGCTGGAGTTCCCAATTAGACTAGCATCTAGTTCCTTAACTTTTTGGGGAAAAGTGGGAGCTAGAAAATAAGCTAATTAGAAACGGAGACTGCGCAGGGGGCCCGAGCGGCAGAGTCGCGGCAAGGGCGCTTGGCAGAGAGGAACACGGATCGCACACGGGTCGTAGCAGGTCCCACACTCCAGCCTCTCGTGGCCAGGGTTTGCTGTCTGCTTGTCCTGGACTGAAGTACCCATGATCAAGTCATCCAAGGAGGAAAATATCTGTTCCAGGTAAGCCCAGGCCCCCCCAGATACACAATGGCTGAGGAGCGAACTGTCAGTGTGGCTGAGGTTGGGTTTCAGACCAAGATACTGGGATTCTCCTAGTTAAGATAAAGAGCTTTGGGTGCCTGACAATGAAAATGGCGTAGTCTGCCTTAAGAGTTAACAGCTTGAAGGCATGACAGATAAAGAACACACATGGACTTATGGCACATGGAAATGTGTGCACAGAAAAAGGAAATCTGTAATTATTTAAAAGTAGGAAGGCATTCTTCCTCGCCAAAATGGGTACATTCTGTTCAGTTATCAAATTTGAAAATCTCCAAGAATTAAAGAGACTGTGTCTCTGGGGGCCCATCATAGCCCTTGATGTTATAGCAATATGTTGTACAATGGCCACGATTGACTCTGTGTTGTGGTATTGGCCCCTACATACAACTGGAGGAAGTCTGAACTTCATCATGTTGATAAATTGGACTGTCATGATTCTTTATAATTATTTCAATGCCATGTATGTCGGTCTGGGCTTCATCCCTCTGGAGTGGAAACTGGAAATTTCTCAGGATACCATGTATCTCCAGTATTGTAAAGTCTGCCAAGCATACAAGGCACTACATTCACATCACTGCAGAAAGTGACAGATGTGTGGTGAAGATGGACCATCACTGTCCTTGGATCAACAACTATTGTGGTTACCAAAATCATGCTTCGTTCACACTGTTTCTCCTTTTAGCACCATTGGGTTGTATCCATGCTGCTTTCATGTTTGTGATGCCTATGTACACACAGCTTTATAATCATATAAACATTTATAGCTTATTTAGATCTGGCAAATAAGGTGAAGGGGACATGAACAAAAGTGCAAGACCAATAATAAACAGCAACTAACAAAGTCTCAGTGTCAGGGAGATGAAAAATGGCAAGGAACATGCTCCATCTAAACACCAATGTTGTCATACAGAAATGCAGGCCCAGTGTTAACAGATTTTCAGATTTTTCAAAAGAAGCCAAGAATCTAGATGTTTATGGGAAATCTCAAAAAGTTTTCAAGTTAGCAACGAATTTAATTCGTTGTCCATGTGATGCTGAAACAGATCAAGCCCCAGAGGGCGAGAAGAAAAACAGATAGCGCAAATTAATAATTTGTATATTTATAGCTTATTTAGATCTGGCAAATAAGGTGAAGGGGACATGAACAAAACACTCTGTGTCTAAAGAAAACACTCTGTAGCCCAGGCTGTAGTGCAGTGGCACAACCACAGCTCATGACAGCCTCAAATTATAGGTCTCAAGAGATCCCCCACTTCGGCCTCCTGAGTAGCTAGGACTAAAGGTGAATGCTACCACATCTGGCCTTTTTTTCTATCACCAGGCTGGAGTGCAGTGGTGCCATCTCGGCTCACTGCAACTTCTCCATCCCAGACTCAAGCAATCCTCCCACATTAGCATCAACCTCCTGAGTAGCTGGAATTACATGCGTGATTTTTTATTTTTATTTTTCTTAGAGAACAGTTCTCACTATGTTGCCATGCTGGTCTCAAACTCCTGGCCCCAAGCAATCCTCCCACCTCAGCCTCCCAAAGCACTGGAATTATAAACCTGAGCCACGGGGCACTAAATTTTTTTTCAACCTGTGCAGGCCAATATTGTGCAACTGCAGGCTATCAGTTTGCAATTCCTTTCAATGTAGGTAATGGGGAAATCAGTGAACAAGTTTAAGCAGGGGATAACACAAAAACATCTGCATACAAGAAGATTGCTCCAGAAGTAGTTAAGAGAAACTGGAGATGGGATGATATATTAGAAAATTATTTCAGGTGCTGAGAAGATTAAAGATGCTTTGGGGAAAGCAGATTCCTAAATATGATGTTATCTAACTGGATTTGAGAGAGGGAAAGAGGATGAATGTACTGTGGTATTGCTCTGAGGAGTTATTCATTCAAATTTCCTTTTTTGTTTTTGTGTTTTTAACACAGTCCTGCTCTGTCACCCAGGCTGGAGTGCAGTATTGTGATCATGGCTCACTGTGGCCTTGACCTCTGGGCTCAAGCAATCCTCCTACCTCAGGCTCTCCAGTAGCTGGGATCACAGGCACATACCAACACATGAAGGAACTTTTTAATTTTTTTTTAATGAGGGCTCACTACATTGCCCAGACTTGTCTCAAGCTCTAGGACTCAAGCCATCCTCTTGCCTAAGCCTCCCAAAATCCTGGGATTACAAGTATGAGTCACCATGCCCCATCTCAAGTTTACCTTTCAGATGGCTTTGTTCAGCTACTTTCTCCTGTCTTTATATATGTTCTTCTTTCTCCGGTAAGCAGCTGTGAAGGATTCCATACTAGTAAACATGCACCCTCAAATAACTTACATTGCTAAGTATATTATATGGTCTTTCTACTGGTGCCTTAATTCTGGAGCAATGAAATAAGAAAGTCTTCTTTGAGAATGCATTTTTTTCTATTTATTTGAACGCTTAAAGCATCTGCTTCCCTTGCCTTTCTCAAGAAAGTACACTGCTTTGAATGTGGTAAGAATTTTAAAACATTTGCTGTATGCATGAGTGACCAACACCCAACCTGGAGCTAAACAATTTTTTTTTAATCTATCAAAACAGGAAGCTTCAGGAGTAGGTTTCCTGTGGTTGGAAACACAAAAGAATTGAAAGTTGCTGTGCATCTTGCAAAATGGCAGGCATGGCCTAATCTGCCCCCCATCTGAGTTAACAGGAACATTAGTGGTCTTTGAATCATAATCCAGTGTTTACTTGGATGTGGAGTAAGGGGTGAGGAATTCCATGCTATTAAGATCATTAAAGGCCTCTTTCCTTGTACTCGAATGTTTATATGTTTCGTTAATAATACAGCTGAAAAACTGTAAACAACCCAGAGGTCCACAACCAGAAAATGGATAAACAATCGTACATCCATGCAATGGAATACTACTCAGCAATAAAAAGAAACCACAGAACTTCCAAAGCATTATACTAAATGAAAGACGCCAGACACAAAAGGCGATATAGTCTATGATTCCATTTAGATGGCATTCTGGAAAAGGCAACACTTGCAGGGATAGAAAGCAAATCAGTGGTTGCCAGGGAATAGGAAGGGGGTAGAGGGCTGACTACAAAGGAGCAAGCAGGTACTTTTTGAGGTGATGGAAATGTTCTGTATCTCTATCGTGGTGCTGGTTAAAGGCATAATGTTTGTCAAACCTCACAGAAGAGCACACCTAAAAATGGTGAATTTAATGTAAGTTACGCCTCCAGATATCTGATACCCTTTCCCCGCTTCCCTTTGCGAGTTCCCAACAAAGAGGGCGCAGAAGCTCAAAGCGCGCCTCACAGACTGCAGGCCTGGCACCCAGTCTGAACCCTGTGACCGCAGTCACCCCGCGGCGCAGGAGGCAAAGGGAGGATGCTGTGGGTGGGAAAGGAAGCCGAGGACGCGTCCACAAGGCCAGGCTGAAGGGAAAGCCCTCACCCAGGAGCTGCAGAGAAGGGAAGGGAAGCTGGGGCCTTAGGTCTCACATTTCCGGAAGCTCCTTACCGATGTTCCCTTCGATGGAGATTTTCTTGATGCGGGTCCCCTCAGAGCTGGCTGAGACAGATGGGCAGCTTCTCTTGGGCGGGGTGGCCATTCCTAGTCTTGTGTCGGCCTGGAGCGCGTCATGCAGAGAGACCAGGGAGGCAGCCACAGATGCGCGTGCTGGAGCTCGCGGCGCCGCGGAGACAGATCTTGACCTGCCCGGTCCTCTAGTGAGCTCGTCGGCCCGCTGGCGGGTGTGGAGGTTTGATTTTGGCGCGCGGAGGCAGCTGATGATGGGGGCGGACCTGTGGCGTGGCCCCGCCCTTCCCAAGCCAGAGACCCCTTGTTGGCCGGTCGGCCCTCGCCCGCCTCCAGCGCGGGCCCCCGTGTGCGCGCTCCGCGGGCCAGGTCACGTGGAGACCGAGGCGGGGCTGCGCGTGAGGCGGTGCGACTCTACCGCTGCCGCCTGGCACCCGCGCGGGGCGCGGAAGAGGTTCCGGAGTTGGGTAGGGAGGAAGGGTGGACGCCAGAGGTCTGAGGGCGTGACGTGCAGTGGGCCGTGCCAGGCTTTGGAAAACTCGCGTCTCCAGTGGGCCTGTTGGAGGTGAACATCGCGTCTGGACAGAACTGGATGAACTTAAAGCTTTGAACTCATCATGGGAAAGGCACTGTGTGATAGGGAAATCAAATGGATTTACCCTGGCTTCTCCGCCTAGAAGACGACCATCAGGTGAAGTGCTGCCCTCGGGAAACGCACTATCCACTTACTGTGAGCCAGGCTCTCTTCTATGCGCTTTTCATTAATTACGTCTAGTGCCAGAGATACCGTCATTAGCCCATTTACCTACAGTGGGAATACAGGCACTGAGAGGCTGCTTGTTCCAAGTGTCAGTAAGTGAAACTGGGATGGGAATTTAGGTAGTCAGATGCCTCCCACAGGAACCCTTAGCAGATCTCCCATACCCCTTTCCATTTGATTTGGATGCACGACCATGCTGTGTAGAAGTTAGCACGTTGTGTTGGTAGGTTTCTGTTCAGCTGTTAATTGACTTAGCCTGCCCAACACCTGGCACATAGGTAACAAAATAAACTGTATGCCTAATTTTTGAATGCTTACTTCTGTGCCATGTACTCTGCCAGAAGACTCATGTAGCTGGGACAAATGCAGTGTAGGATTGATTTGTCCCAGCTAGATGAGTGCATTTTTAGTAAGGGTAAAGACCCCTAATGAGGCAGGAGAATAGGGAATTAGGGTAACCAAGAGTTAAGGCATAAGCAAAAGAACAGCAGATGCAGCCAGTTCTAGGCAAGACTAGGCAGCATACAGGCCACACCTTCACTCCTGTGATTTTGTAAGACAGAAGTTTCAACATCAACCTCTGATTGGCCGTGGCCATGTCCATTTCAGCCTCTGATTGGTCGCAGGCCAATCCTTCATAGGGTGTAACCAATTAAAGGACTGTAAAGGGCACCTAGAGGTTTACCAAATTCTTTTAGCCTAGTAACCCTTAAGAACGTTGCAATTGGGAGGGACTCTTGAGGCACTTGCTTGCTTCAATAAATTTGTGATTTTGTTACTCCGTTCTTTTGTTGCTTTGTCTTTCATTGCTTCCTTCTTTTGTTGCTTTGTTTCTACATTTTGTTCAATTCTTTGTTCAACACGCCAAGAACCCAGACAACTCAAGAGTTGAGACTTCCCATCCAGTAGCACTAATAAACGGGACATTACCCATTCTGGAAGTTATCTTGTCCAAACTGTCTACAGAAAGCAAAGGCCTTGCTATTCTTTTCTACATTGCAACTATCATCAGATCTGAAATTCATCTAAATGTGTAGCCAGAAGGGGAAAATGGTGACTCCATTCTCAGAAATAAAAAGCAGAAATTAAAATGTGACTCCTTGAGGATCACATTTTCCAGGATGAAACAGCAAGAATCATTATTTGTAATGGCCCTGTATTATTCTGTTATGCATTTATTTTGTATATATTACTTTTACTTACTCCCATAGTGATTAACAGCAAGATCCTAGTAATGGAAAACGCCTGAATAGTTGTCATCAGGTATAGCAAGGAAGCTGGGAGAAAGGTGCTGGTGAAGCTACTACATATCACATTCCACAGCCAAGCTTGGGAGAAAACTCATGAAATGGTAAGAGTACTGGCAGCTACCAAAAGGAGGAAGGCAAGGCAAGTCTCAGAGACCTTCAACAGGAAAGCAGAGCTGAAGTCCTGCATGGACGTTGTGGGAAGTAGAAAAGTTCCTCTTCAAAGTTTTCTTTCTTGTTAAAGAATAAATCATAAGTGTTAGAAATAATAGTTTGTTTTAAAGACTTTCTTCAAAGCCTTCTTGCTTTTTAGTAACAATTCTTTGTTAAACTCTATCTTATGTAGTTGTTAGACATGTTTATAGGCACATAGTACATTCTATGTCCTTGTACTTTAACCAAGATATCTGTGCTGGGCATGCTCACAGGCATGTCCCAGCTCACAGCCTATGCCCCTTTCTTATTTGGACTTCCTCTTTTACTTTTGTTCTTCATTGTCTTTACCTCTTCAAGAAAGTTTTAAGTTATTAGCCTGTTGGGTTCAGTTTTAGATTGTTAAGTCTGGCTCCAACCAACAGAGATCAGATGACTCCAAATGTGTAAGGGATAAATATGTCTGCTTTTCCTTTGTGAGTTGTACTCTTCTGGCAAGATGGCTAACAGGGGCACCCTTTCTGCAGAAAGTAAAATTGCCTCGCTGAGAGATCCTTTGTCTCGGTGATTTTTCTTTGCAGCACTGAGCATGTTTCCCACAGATGTCATAAAGAGGCTTGGGGTTGAGGAGTAGAAATCTCCAAGTGTGGTTTCCATAAAAAGACCCACACAAGAAGTGGTATCTTATAATGATGAAGAGTTTAAGCACTGAAAAAATTAAAGATTTCAAACACCAGCTCTGCCAGTTTCTTCTGGCTTTGAGAACTTGAGTTCATCTAAGCCAAAAGTATACTTTGAAAATACAAATGTGGGGCCAGGTGCAGTGGCTCACGCCTGTAATCCCAGCACTTTGGGAGGCTGAGGTGGGCGGATCACAAGGTCAAGATATCAAGACCATCCTGGCCAACATGTTGAAACCACATATCTACTAAAAATACAAAAATTAGCCAGTGAAACCCAGTCTCTACTAAAAATACAAAAATTAGCCAGGCATGGTGGCATGTTCCTATAGTCCCAGCTACTCAAGAGGCTGAGGCAGGAGAATCACTGGGAACCGGGAGGCAGAAGTTGCAGTGAACCAAGATTCCCACCACTGCACTCCAGCCTGGCAACAGAACGAGACTCCATCTCACACACACACAAAAAAAAAAAAAAAAAAGAAGAAGAAGAATAGAAAATACAAATGTGGGAGGCTGAAGCAGGTGGAATGCTTGAGCCCAGGAGTTTGAGACTAGCCTGGGCAACATAGCAAAACTCTGTCTCTACAAAAAAAATAGAAAAATTAGCCAGGCACCTGTAGTCTCAGCTATTTGGGAGGCTGAGGCGGGAAAATACCAAAGTCTAGGAGTTGAGGCTACAGTGAGCTAAGATTATGCCACTGTACTCCAGTGAGACCCTGTCTCAAATAACAACGAAGTTAATGGGGGAAGCAAAGAATCTAGCTTTTTTGGCATTAAGTCCAGCATAATTTCCCATTTTCCTATATGACCTATGTGTAACACAAGGAGAGACCAGAGAAAAGCACTTTTCAAAACATCTTGATTTTTGGTCCACAATCTCTTATCTAAAACCCTGGCAGCCAGATGTTTCAGAATTCAAAATTTTTAGAAAAGAAATTCAAAACTTTGAAACTGGGCACAGTGGCTCATGCCTGTAATCCCAGTTCTTTGGGAGGCTACAATGGGTGGATTGCTTGAGCTCCGGAATTCAAGACCAACCAGGGAAACATGGCGAAACTAATACAAAAAATATAAAAATTAGCTGGTTGTGGTGGTACACAACTGGGGTCCTAGCTACTCAGAAGGCTGAGGTAGGAGGATGGCTTGGGCCTGGAAAGTTTTAGCTTTAGTGAGCAATGATCACACCACTGCACACCAGCCTGAGTGATACAGCAAGACTGTCTCAAAAATAAAATTTAGAATCCAAACTTTAAAAAAGAAATACAGTGCATATACTGTATATATTAAGCACCCCCACTCCCTCTGCAAAGGTGTTAAATGCACTAATATTTTGCAGTGAAATATAAAGACTGTTAACGTGAAGTGGGATAAAGACTATTCACCTCCAGTCAGATTAAGTTTGCACTGAATTCAAAAAACTACTTTTGGGGCCAGGTGCAGTGGTTCACGCCTATAATCAACACTGTGGGAGGCCACGGCGGGTGGATTATCTGAGGTCAGGAGTTCGAGACCAGCCTGCCCAACATGGTGAAACCCTGTCTCTCCTAAAGATACAAAAATTAGCCGGGCATGGTGGCATGTGCCTATAGTTCCAAATACGTGGGAGACTGAGGCAGGAGAATCACTTGAACACGGGAGGCAGAGGTTGCAGTAAGCCAATATCACTCAACTGTATTCCAGCCTGGGTGGCAGAGTGAAACTCCTTTTAAAAAAAAAAATTGGTTTTCTGAGCTTTTCAGATTTTGGAACTGCACATAAGAGAGAATACAGAGCACCCAGCCAGTCATGAGCATGCTGCCATCTTAACCCTTTCTTGCCAGAAATTTTACTATTCCTTCAATTTGGGAATTCTTTTTCTCCTGTGGGAATTCTAGTTATCCCAGCACTTTGGGAGGCTATGGCAGGTGAATTGCCTGACAACATACAGGTTTATTAGGAAAACTAAATCAACTTAGAAAATAGTAAAAAGCATAGAAGATAAGAGGCCCCGAACATAGTTAAATAGTGGTTACACAGCCCATGAGTTTGTCTACACCAACTCAACTACCTATGTAAAATGTTTAGCAACTTACCTTTGTTATAAATTTCCCCTTGTAATTTTCATTAGTGCCTAGAAAACGGGGTACAGAAGCCATCATAAATGAAATACAAGAGTAGGAGTCTGGGTACTGCCTGCAAATCTGAAAGCAAAATAACGTACTAGAAGAGCATAGGAGTCACTGATTGTATATAGCTTAGCAAAGAAAGCTGTTTTGCTACATGCTTGTAAAGTGAACCAGAGTCATCAAGAAAATGTGATACTGTATTCATCATGTGTAAAACAGGAGCATGTACAATTTTTTAGTAAAACTTCGAAATATGATTGTTTAAACCTTAGAGGAATAATTAATTAGAATCTCTGTTGCAAAATGCACCACTGCAGCTGTTATATGAGGGATTAACAACTTACATTTAGTACGACAGAGGTAAAAGAACCTAATTATCAAAATGTAGTTAATTTTACAATATATGAGCATGTGTATATTTCTTTACACACAATAAATGAGTAACAGGGTGTTTTTAAAGCATGCAGAAACAGTCCACATCAGCATTGATTAGCAGTTCAACTAGTCTTTCTTCCAAATACCCTTAGTGACTAAGCAACTGTGGCTAATACCATTAAATATTCTTAACCTGACGTTCAAACACAAATGCCTCTAACATAAATACTTCTCATACTCTGAGAAGACTGCTAAAATACACATTTTGGCTTGGTGTGGTGGCTCACACCTATAATCCCTGCACTTTGGGAGACAGAAGGAGGTGGATAACCTGAGGTCAGGAGTTTGAGAGCAGCCTGGCCAACACAGAGAAATCCCATCTCTACTAAAAATACAAAAAATTAGCTGAGCGTGGTGGGACATACCTGTAATCCCAGCTACTCGGGAGGCTGAGGCAGGAGAATCACTTGAACCCAGGAGGCAGAGGTTATAGTGAGCCAAGATCATGCCATTGCACCCCAGCCTGGGCAACAGAGCAAGACTCCATCTCAAAATGTCAAAAATAAAAAAATATATAACAAAATACACATTTCCTTTTGGAACTTGGTAGATGATTCTCCAATATTGTTTATTACTATTCCTTAATGATCTACAATGAAGACAAAATATTAGATAATAGCTTAATGAAAAGGTCAACAAATGATTGTTTAGCTGCTCTCACTCTAATAGTATATATTAAAAAAAAATACACCTGCACACTGAAGAATAACCAAAAAAGTGAAAAAAGAAAAACAAAAACACTGGCTTCAAGTTCAGGCATGGGAGGATTTTAAAACCCTAATCCAAATCAGTGACTTGTACAATTTCTGAGCTTTAGTTTTCTAGGATATTGACTGAGATACTAATTTCCAAGGTTGTTGTGAACATTACAGAAAATAATGCCTAACAACATTTCAATGTGCAACATATTCCATCTAACATCAATATTTCCCTTGGAATGTGTTTAGTGTGGGAATGCCAATAGCAAAAATAAACAGTAATGCAAAGTCAGGATTCGTGGCCAAACATAACTATTTATTCAGTTTTTTTCTTATAAACATTGAGTTTCTTCCTTAAAAAAAAAAACACCTAGAATTTAAATATTTCCCATCCTATCACATACAAGTCTGTATACATTATTTACATCTCTCAAATAAAACATATTACAGATTTTTTGACATTCAGTATCCCTTTTTAACCAAAATGACGAAGCAATTAAACTTTGATCAATAACAACTACAATTTGCATAATCTGGCATAGTTTATAATGCCTATGTTGAATTTCATATCTTTTTTCCCCCTCTAGCTACTTGATTGTAAGAAACTGTCTTATCTCCATGAGAGTAGATCCCTGTCTTTATGCACTCTCCTCAATACTTGCACAGTGTAAATGCTGCCCTTATTCTTCCATTACTTGGCAACGACAATATTCCTCTGCTTCTGCTTTCAGAAATGATTTCTATTTGAACTTTAAGTGTTCTCACATATATTGTATTCTCTTTCAACCAAGATTTCATGACACTGTTCCTAATGGTAATTGTAGTAACTTAAATTTATAGGAAAAGTTCAAATAAAACATCAAGTAAGTGTTCCTTACAAGATTGTACCACTCTGGTTATGCATGTACAATAATAACAAATACAAGTTAGTGGCTGTAAAAAAAGCTGTTTTCCCTAAAACCAGTCATTTCTGCCAAACAATTTAAGGAGCAAAGCATCCTTAAAATGAAAATGCACTAATCTTTTTTACAATCTGCACAATTATTTCAGAAAAATAAAAATTAAAACATATAAAACTGTAAGAAACACCCATCTATACAAATTTAATATTAATTCAGATGAGAACATTAATTTACAAAATAAAAAACAATTTAATATTAATAATATGTGAAGGAGAAATTAAATACTGAAATTTTAACTTTGTATCACTAATAATCTCAGCTTCAGTGAAATAATTTAAAGAAAGCTGTCAACCTAAACAAACTGAAACCTATGAACTGACAGTAAATACTTCAGAATCTCTAACAATGAAGATCTGAAAAATCAGCCTAATTATTTTCCTGTGTGTGTGTGTGTGTGTGTGTGTGTGTGTGTGTGTGTGTGTGTACACTCACAGTGAAAAACATACTGCTGGAAAGAGCCAGTGATTTTAGTATCTACCTTGGAAAACGGTAGCCCAAAGTTTCCAATTATTTAGTTCTATATGCAGAAAAAGAAAGTTGTACTACATTTGCAAAACTGCTGGTACTCAACATTCTAATTTGTATTTTCTCTGTTTTGTCAAAATGTGAATCAGTTCAGCTACAAGTGACAGACATAGAATGTAGTTTTATACCTTCAAAATGAATTATTCTCTGTGATTAGCTTATTAGGAAAGCCTTAAAAATTCAAAATCATCTGCGGTCAGAATTTTTGTTACATCTTGAAATTAAACTTTTCCATTAAATCTTAAGATAGCTTTAGTGCTAAACATTTATCATATCATACACAATTAAGCTGATAGCTGAACAACAGTGACGTCTATGGTAAATTTTAATATTACAATAAAACTCTGATATTTAAATTACTTAAGAGTAGTCCTTAAAGTATAAATCTGTGTTTCTAAGAACTGGTATATATTCTTTAAAATCCCAGATAAATTGCAGAATAAGCTTAAACGATAAATCTGTGTTTTTAAGAATTGGCATATTTTTCAATACCTCAGATAAATTTCAAAATAAGGTTTGGTATGCAGTCACATTTCCAAATTATAAATATGCTTTTGGTTCCACATCTTTTAAAAAGACATTAAAAATTATAAATCTATGAAAAGGTTATATAATTCCAAATATTTTATGATATGTAGGCTTAAAACTCAGCATATGAAATTTACTCCATAATTAGCGTATGAAACTTACTCCAATTTCTTTGTATAATAATCTCCAGTATTTCATTAAAGACCAACTGTTCATCTGAGTGAAAACATTTTTTAAAAAATGGCAGTAAAGGCTGTTGTTTCCTTAAACTACTTCTATCTTAAATATTGGATCCATTTTTCCATAGTATCCATTCAATCAATACTATCCTACAGTAGTCAAAATTAAATTGAAAGTTTTCAGGAAAAGGAACAAAAAGAGAAAAGTTCTAGAGAAAGGACTTAGTTTTTTCGATTATTAACATATCTAACTAAGGTAATTAAGGTAATTAAACTGATTTTTTTTAAAAAGTAAAACCTCTACATTCAAGTGATATTTTCCACTTCAAAAAAGTGACATCAGAAAACTATTCTTTTATTCAATGATGTTACCAAGGCTTAAAACATTCTCTTGTGCAAATTCAGAACTTATGGCACTTTCCTTTGAACTTCCCTAATGGTTGAGTTCTCAGAGAACAGCCAAGTTTAAATTACAGTTGAGCTGATGATTAAGATAGAGCATATTGTCTGGCCGCAGTGGCTCATGCCTGTAATCCTTGCAGTTTGGGAGGCTGGGGAGGGCAGATCACTTGAGGTCATAATTTTGAGACCAGCCTGGCCAACATGGTAAAATCCCATCTCTACTAAAAATACAAAAATTAGGCGGGTATGGTGGTGCATTCCTATAATGCCAGCTACCTGGGAGTCTCAGGAGGGAGAATTTTGCTGGAACCCAGGAGACAGAGGTTGCAGTAAGCTGAGATCATGCCACTGCACTCCAGCTCAGGCAACAGAGTAAGACTCCGTCTCAAAAAAGAAAGAAAGAAAAAAGTCATATTAAGCTGCCAAAAGTTTTTGGTACAATTAAAATGATGAAATTGATTTTCCTGCATAATCACAAACTGATTCTTATGGCATCCTCTAGAAGAGTTCAAAAAATATTAGCCTTTTGCAATATAGCTGGAATAAATAGTGCTCTCAAAAGAACCACTTTGAAGATCAACTCTCATTTAGATGTTAAGGCATGACTTATTCATTTTAAAAAGAAAGTTCTACAACTCAATATTTGTATCTCACATATTCTACCATTTCAGTGGTTATCAAAACCTCTCTCAGAGAGGGGTAGACAAAAGTATAAATGAAATGTTGTTTTGCTATTTTCCCATAAGCAAGGAAAAGACATAAAATGGAGTCTGGTGATTATATATGTAATATATAAATATCCACATCATCTCTATTTCCTGATAAGAGATTGTAGTGTTTTATCCATCCTGATAAGCCAGGTAGTAACTCCATCTGAGATATATTATACACAAAACATATCTGCTCCTACCTAATACATTTTAGGGTGACCATTTAGAATTTACAAATGACTAACATTGGGAAGGTAGAAAGAGGCAGCAATTTAAAATCTTACAACTTAAGGTAAATTAACCTCCAAAACCTCTACCAGCAACTAACGCATGCTTGTTGTTTAGTGCAGTCTAATGCCATAAAGGGAATAATCAAGTCTGCAAATGAAAGCCAGCAGCACCATCTACTGCTAATTAAAAGATTTTCACTCTTTTTGTGATTAATTTCTCTCTACCACCACTACTCCATCATTTAAAGTCATTCCAAAACATTGCTTCATATCAACATTTAACCAAAAAAAAGCACTGTGACTAATAATAATATGTTAACTTACTACTTTATATTTTATGGGATGCTTTTATCAAAGGATAAGAAAACTGACTTTTGCTTTATAGTTATGTATTAATATAAAGAGCAAGGGGGAAAATAATTATCTTGGTTACTTACAAATTAATTAAAATCCGAAAAGAATCCAATAGACATTTATCAGCAAACTTTGCTGCAGAACAAAGCATTGATTCTTACATTTAAAAGGGCATTGGCCAGGCGTGGTGGCTCATGCCTATAATCCCAACACTTTGGGAGGATAAGACGGGTGGATCAAAAGGTCAGAAGATCGAGACCATCCTGGCCAACATGGTGAAACCCCGTCTCTACTAAAAATGCAAAAAAAATCAGCTGGGCGTGGTGGTGCATGCGCATAGTCCCAGCTACTTGGGAGACTGAGGCAGAAGAATTGCTTGAACCCAGGAAGCAGAGACTGCAGTGAGCCGAGATCATGCCACTGCACTACAGCCTGGGCAACAGTCTGAGACTCCATCTCGGGGAGGGGTGGAAAGGGCATCTTACTAACTTTCACGGGAACCAACCAAATCAAATCAACTTTTTATTATATCAGTTCTTTCACTTTCTGATTTTTCTTTACTTGTAGCCATGTAACACCAGTGCAATGCCAGGCCCCTCCCCTAGAGAACTGCTATGCTTTGTTACCATATATACACATCTCTTTATTTCCCAATGACTGTGATTAAAGAAATATTCTGAAGCAGGCACCTGAGATTCTGGCACAGTGAAAACAAACTTCTTTCTACATATAGAGGAGAGTAGGTCTTACTACTAAAATCAATTTATGGAGATATTTTCCCATTTTTACAGTGTACTGCTGTATAAGGCTTGAAAGGGCAAGATTAATTTTTCACTACTCTCTCTATACTTGGCTACTGCAACTCCTTTGTTGCTAGACTGATATGAAGTCAAATACAATATGGAAGACTGAGTAATTCTGTGCTTCATTTGCCTATATAGACAATACTCAAAATCACCTCACAAATTTTATTTCTGAATCAACCCATAATGATTCATATTATCTATCTGAATACAAAAAGATTTGTCTTGAGGAAATTAGCTCTCACTGCAGCTTATAAATAAGCTTTACCAATAAATGTCTAATATATCTAACTCTGCCATGCTCTCCTGTTATTTCTACTGTTGGTACTACTTGGTGAATAATTGCTAGAAATGAAGTAGAGAAAAAGGCAGTTCCTAGTCAACATAATTGTAATGGCAATACATTTTCTGCTCTACTTGTTAACGGCAAAACAAACTGATTTAATTTTAGATTCTCTACTAAGTGTTTTTAATCTATGCTATTTCAGAGCAAGCATTTCTTCCTAGAAGGAAAAAGGTCTATGTTTCTACTAAAGAAAGGGTATATATTTCTACTGAAGAAAGAAGATTTATTGGAAATGACAACACTAAAACTGGATTTCTGAAAAGGGTATTTCTCGAGAACAAAACTGAAGTGGAAAAAAATATTCTAAAAACTAAGCTCTGAACTTGTTATTTATGGTAATAATTTACTAGAAGATCATGGCAAATAAAATTTAGTAACTACTGAATTAGCATTTTTCATTATCTGGTATCACTGCAAAGAAAAACATTTCCTTTCACAGTGGAAAAAACAGAAGTCAGAATGCTTCAAACTGGGCCTATAATAAGCAAAGAAGATACGGTATCATCTTAAAATGACAGGGAAACACCAGCTCCATTCACTGAATGGAAATGCTAAGAAGTGATCAATTTCCTCAAACAGTCCTTAAATTCCATGTTTAATGTCTGTACCTAAAATAATAATTTATTTTTAACTTCTCATGGAAGTTGATTCCTAAAAGGAAGTCTCTAAGACTTTGTTTATAAGTAATTGATTAAAATCTTCATGCCACTCTATTCAAAGGTTTTCGGACAAAACTTTCCAGAACTTAACTCCCCATACAGAGTAACATCTCCATACCCTCAGCCAAAAATACACATTCCTATCCCCTCCTCTTCAAGGCAGACGGGAATTGTGCAGACTTATGGCTCGTTTGGCAATTGCTAGGAAACCTCACAGTTCAGCATCACCTCTGAAGATGGCAATCCTATATATAACCTGAATTTTTACAACTACAGTGCAGTTAACATGTAGAAAGAAGCCAAAATGTAATACATTTAAATATCCTCAAGTTTCAATATCACAGATATCAAGAGGTGGGAAAAGACCTGCTTGTAGAGCTTTAAGCATTGTTGAACATAATATATTACCATCAATATCAAAAATAATTAAGAAATATTTTTTATGTTCTACATGCACACCTTTACAAATTCTGTTTCTTCAAAGCAGTAAAGGCTGGAGATCACCATTTTAGGTAAACTATGGCTTTTATCACAGATATTTTACAACATGCACCAGTAAGTGCCCTGGGTAGTAATCCTAATATTGTTTTAAGCCCTGTTCAGTTCTATATCTATGCTTTGCACCTCAGAAGTGAGCCTGCCAAGGCACTTTAAAACATAAGTCTTTTGGGGACTTCAAAAATGGGCCACAATTTATACCACACAGAAACCAATCCATCAGCAGTTCAATCAATCAGCACTTTCTTGCAGCACACAATATTATTTAAAAACTCCTCAAATAACCAAAACCATGTTTAAAAACACTAAGATAAATTTACTCTTATCAAATGTATAGAGAATGGTTCTTAGCTTCTCCTAGGAATAGAATATGGTTTTATACAATCAGAATAAAGAAAAAGGAACCCAAACAAGTCCCCCCAAACCTAGGACAAAAATAATCCAGATAAAAACAAAATATAACAAAAACCCCAACACGCTCCACACTGCTTCATTTGAGGAACAATTTGCACAGCTCTACATCCTTTTATCTGTCCTTTGAGGTGAGTTTTTCAATCAGTTCTTGGAGTGGTGCAAGTTCTCTTCTATCAATAAGGTTGAATTCCTACGCATGATAAAGAAAGGCAGAATAAATAGCAAAAACATTATTTGCATCTTACTCCAAAGTAAATTACCATGTACATTTGTTGGAAATTAGCTTTTGAAGTAAATAAAAGCAGAATTTTTTTTCCCTTATTCACTAGGTCTGTGTCTTGAATAAATCACTTAACTGCTCCTGATGTTATGTTTTTACATCTGTGACACTAGGATAAATCCCCCTAACTCATAAAATTATTGTGGGAACTAAAAGTGATACTGGATATTAACTATTTCATGTAATGCCTGGCACAAAGTAACAATAAATGGGAGTTGCTGCTTCCTGTTGAAAGGAATGATCTGGATACCATTTAAATACAGTCAAACAGGTAGAGGTGCACACGTGCATGTGCACGCGCACACATACACACACATTTAAATACAGTCAACCAAGTAGAGGCAGACTTGCGCGCGTGTGCACACACACACACAAAAAAAAACACACTAGCATCTCTGGCAAACTTGAGCATTTTATGACGAGCAAAAACCTAGTTATAAACTAATGTATCTACTACAAGCTATCTTCTAAGATATGGTAGGAAAATAACATGAATATGGTTGAGTCCACAAATGATAAATTAAAATCTTGTGAAGAACAAATGAGAAAGCCTGAATTTAATTTGTGCTCCTTTAGAAATTCCACCCCTGTCATTCTGAAGTTCACTTCTGAATAGATTTCCCCCGAACTATAAATTAAAAGGCTAGTAAATAGAGGGTTGTTTGCACTTCTGATCTTTTGCCATGGTAAGGCATTCTTAGCTTCAGATTTAATTCATTTATTAGCATCTATCATGTGCCAAGCACTACAGTTAAATACTGGAGAGAAGCATTAGCAGGTATTTAATAGCAGGACCACCCCTAAGGTTTGTAGAGTCTGGGCTAATAACACAAATGGATATATATCATATGACTAAATTACTAAATTTTGTATTAAGCTAGTATGTTGTTAAATAAAACATGTTCTATGCTCCTATTCATAGCGACCAGGATAACAGATTCAAACTTAGAATTCTCCACACTCAGCCATGCGTGGTAGCTCACACATGCAATCTCAGCACTCTGGGAGGCTGAGGCGGGTGAATCACCTGAGGTCAGGAGTTTGAGACCACCGTGTCCAACATGGTGAAACCCCCTCTCTACTAAAAATACAAAAATTAGGAGGCGTGGTGGGTACCTGTAATCCCAGCTTTTCGGGAGGCTGAGGCAGGAGAATTGCTTGAACCCAAAAGAAAGAGGTTGCAGTGAGCTGACATGGTGCCACCGAACTCCAGCCTGGGCAACAAAGTGAGGCTCTGTCTAAAAAAAAAAAAATTCTCTAGACTCCTAAGGATTCTGCACTGGAATGTAGTGACATTAGGAGAGCCAGCCGCAGGTGCCTGGCCCTCAGACCTCCCTGCTTTTAAACCCCATTCATCCTGCACCTCAAGAGACCTCACATATGAGTGTGGACACTTTGGGTAATGTCCACATGCCCTCAGAAACAACTGCCATCAGCAACCCTCAGGCCTGAAAGTATACATATCAGAGATGGAACCTACTCTCAAAAGAATGGAACCCAGGAAAAGATGCATAGAGACCCTGGAAATACGTTTTGGACCACGTGGACAGAGAATTCCGGGTTTCAGGTACCCAAGCAAGCACCAGAAAGGATCAAGATAGGTATGTTCTTGGCCCTACAGATTCCTCACTGTGGAGAGGGGTGCAGGCTACAGAAGGACCAGAGCAGGTTATCTCTAAATTGTGGGGCCCAAGGCAGGTGCTGCCCTTGCTTAATCAAACAGTGATACTATAAAACTAATGATCTACCTTTAAGAAGCTCAGTGTCCTGAGATACAAACAGCATGAGATGTGATAAATGCTATAAATCGATCCCCTGCTATTTGCTAGGAGTTGGGAAATACAGTGTAAGATCACTCAGCCAAGTAAAACTAATCCTTCTGGAGGGAGAACATACTCTCTTAAACCACCACAACATTAACTTTAGCAATCACATTATGCCTAAACCAAACACAGATGCAAACTTTAGGACAACATTTTCTTCGTTCCTTAGTTCTGGACATGGGATATCACGGTAAAGTAAATGTTGACAGCAACAGTTTCGGCAGGGTACAATCTCCTAAAGTATGTTTATATAGGTAAAATATGTGCCTTCAGTGTGAGGAGTGTATACAGTGGAAAATGGATACATATTTCTTAAGAGAACAAGGGAAGTGGCAAAGGCATTTATAAATATATGCCTGTAGATATACAAAAACAACACGAATTCAAGACTTGGGCTTCTGCTCATCACCATCTCTCCTTCTCAACCTCCAACAGACCTGCATGCCATCAACTTGGATACTAATACAATTTAGAAACAAAAAGCCAGTCCTTGTCATCATGGAAAAGCGTAGAGGAGGATGCAGACCAGAGAGATATGGCAAATTCCATCCTGACAGTGTGGATGCAGTACTCACCTTAGAACTATGAAGATAAATGAGCACCAAAGGCCTCCTAATCCAACTTACCTGGACAAAAAAAATAAAGTGCTTGAAAGATGTATTTAGATGTGCTTCCTCCTGAAGTTGGATCACAGGGTCAAAATGCTGATGATAAATGTGAGCATAAACCCTAAATAGGCGTTTGAGTATAGTTTTTGCCACAGACATGAAATTCTTTGGGAACGGGACACCTAGAAAAGAGATAAAAAATTCCCTCTAATAACTGGAGATGATAACAAGGCAACATGAGTTTGTCAGCAAAGGGCAACATAAGTTACCAAGACAAGGCTGAAAAGAAGTAGTATTTGTGAATTTATACATATACCCATTATACCTTTTCAGAAGTTCTCAATATGTCATGAATGAATATAAACTTCAACGTTTTTATGGTGTAAGAATCAGTCCTCATTATAGCCTGTTACGTCTCTAACATACTACCACCACATTACTAAAATGAAACAGATATACACCCAAGATGGTAGTGAAGGTGAAACTCACACTCAGATCATCAGATTTCTTAAGTCTCAATAAAAATATGTGCTGAACAGAAATAATGCATTAACCACATTCAGTTTTGTTTAAAATGCTTACAGTATATATTATACTTTTTTATATGGGAATTATTTCATTACTACTCCAAGTCTACATTTGTCCTTTAATTAGCTACATTCTCTATTCCACTGATTCATGAATTAAAGCACGTTTACAGTACTGAAATATGAAAGTTGAAAAATATATTTTTTCAACTGTGGAAAAGAGGGAACTCTCATATACTGCTGGTGGCAACATAGATTGGTATGGCCACTAAGGAAAACAGCATAGAGGTTCCTAAAGAATTAAAAATAGAATACCACATGACCCAGCAATCTGTCTTCTGGGTATATACCCAAAGGAAATGAAATAACCCAGTCGTAAAGTTATCTGCACACCTATGTTCTCTGCAGCATTGTTCAAAATAGCCAGGACATGTAAACAACCCAGGTGTCCCTCAACAGATGAATGGATTTTTAAAACTGTGCTATATATATACAATGAAATATTATTCAGCCAGAAAAGAGGAGATCTTGCAATCTGCCACAACATGGATGGATCTGGAGAACATTATGCTAATGTGACATAGTAAATGCCCCATAAACTGCATACATCCACTATACCTCGGCTTTCCATTGAAACTGCTCTCTGTAACCCTAACGTGACAGGCAAGCAGTCCAAACCAATGCCATTTTGGCCCCTGCACCATTTTAAAACTTGTAATAAGTAACTAAGGTCTGTAATTTCCACCCTACCCAGAAATGTGTAAACTAATGCTTATCTTGATTTCTGTGAACCACTTAAGTAATCAGAATGTCCAAAGTCCCCTGGCTCTCGGAATGTCCAAAGCCCCTCACCCACACCCCCACCCAAGAGGTGGTTTACAGGCATAAAAGGTCTTGACACCCTCCTTTTGGGGCCACAGGTTAGAGAGACGCGAGTCCTCTGTGGTCGCTGGCAATAAAGACCCTGTAAGTTGGTCGAGTCTTTGTCTCAGTGGTGATTTTGCGCTTGCTCGGTTACAACACTAAGTGAAACAAGCCAGACAGAAAAAGAAAAATATTGCATGACCTCACTTACATGTGAATTTTTTTTTAAGTCAAATATACAGAGATAGAGAATAAAACAGTGGCCACCAGGAGTGTGGTGAAGGTAAGTGAAAGGATACAAGGTACCAGATATGTAGAATGAACAAGCCTAAAGATCTAATGTACAACATGAGGACCATAGTTACAAATAGTGTACTTAGTGTAGTGAGGCTGGGCGGTGACTTATGCCTATCATCCCAACACTTGGGAGGACAAGGTGGGATGATCACTTGAGACAGAAGTTCAAGAGCAGCATGGGCAACATAGCGGCACCTTGCCTCAACAAAATATTAGAAATTAGCTGGGTATGGTGGTGTATACCTGTGGTCCCAGTTACTTAGGAGGCTGAAGCAGTAGGACTGCTTGAGCCTGGGAGATTGAGGCTGTAGTGAGCTGTGACTGTGCTACTGAACTTCAGCCCTGGCAACAGAGTGAGACCCTGTCTCAAAAAACTAATAATTTAAAAAAAGAATAGAATAATGTATTCAGGGGTCTGCTAAATGAGTAGATTACAGCTGCTCTTACCACAGGGGGAAAAATTAGTAACTATGTAAGATGATGGAGATGGTCATCTGTTTCACTATAATAACCATTTTATTATGTATAATCTCATATCATCTTGTTGTCTGCCTTAAATATATACAATAAAATTTATCTTAAAAAATGTATAAAATCCCATATCCTCTGTTAAACATGTTAAATGATACAGACTGACAAAACAGCCAAATATTGGTACTACTGGGTTCAATGTCATGATATTGCCCTCATATTGCTACTTCTCACTTAATTATAGTTCACAAAGACATAAAAGACAAACCAAAGTGAAAGGAAAATCTATAAAATAATATGCACTCTTCAACAATGTCATAAAAAACAAAAATGACCAAAATGCACATTTCCAAATCAAAGGAGGCTAAAGAGACAACAAATAAATGAAAACAGGTATCAAAGATTTTCTTTGCTATAAAGTACATTATTAAGAAAACCTGAAAAGCCCAAATAAGATCTATAGATTGGAAAATAGCATAGCATCAGTATAAATTTCCTAATCTTGATATCTGTACTGTGATTTTTCTAAGGAAATGCAAAATCAAGTTTTAAAGGCATCATATATGCAACTTACTCTCAAACAGTTTAGGAAAAGGAATGAATGAATGTATGTGTATGAGTGAGAGAGGTTGGGGGAGAGGGAAAGGAAGGAGGAAGATGTTAACAATTAACAATCTGGATGAAGGGTTTGTATGATTTTTTGTACATTTCCTTGTATAAGTCTTGCAAATTTTCTAAAAGTTTGAAATTGGATCAAAATAAAAATTTTAAAACTGTATTATGAGAGATAAGAGATAAGGTGGGGACACTCATCCAACCTTTACGATATATATATGTAATTCGGTCTTGAAAATTTGCTCTTTTATTACAAAAGTTCAAAGTGGTTAATGCATTCAATAAATATGTTTAAAATACTCCATAATAACAACAACTATTTATATTGTCTTCACCACCACTTTCCAGAAAAAAAAAAAAAACATAAGATGTCAAAAAGTTCTAACATTAGAAGAGCAAATTCTCCTTTTGAGATAATCAGTTGTAAGAAGTTTGAGAAGGCAAAAATATATAACCATCTAGATGTGAACAATGTCCACCTGATCAGTCTGCCCTTAAAAGTAAATATAAAAAACCAAAAGTCACTCAGCCAATAATAGGGCAACCCCTCAAATCTTGTTTTCTTCTCACATGGCTTAATATCTGAATCTGTAAGATTCATATTGTGAGTTATAAATTCAAACTCCCTTTTGATCACAAATATATTACTGTATAACACTGGACAGAAGCCAAAAGAACTTCCCTAAATAAGTATATATGACTGTGGCAGATGTTACTAGCTATCTACTCAATATCAACTCTCTTTTTTCTGTATCATGAGCCAGATTTTGTTACTATCCCAAATCTACTGATCTCGTCATTTAAAATTATAGAGAGGGATCCCAGCACTTTGGGAGGCCAAGGCAGGCAGATCACTGAGGTCAGGAGTTCGAGACCAGCCTGGCCAACATGGTGAAACCTCATCTCTACTAAAAATCCAAAAACATTAGCTGGGTGTGGTGGTGCATGCCTGTAGTCCCAGTTACTTGGTAGGCTGAGGCAGGAGAATCACTTGAACCTGAGAGGCAGAGGTTACAGTGAGCCAAGGTTGTGCCACTGCACTCCAGCCTAGGCAATGGAGTGAGACTCTGTCTCCCAAAATATTTTATAAAAATTAAATTAAATAAATAAAATAAAATAGAGGGTTTACCTTAATGTTCATAAGTTTGGTGTGAAAAAGATAGAACACCTTTAAGTGCCTAAGAGTAGAAATATATGTTAGGTACAGTAATTTAGCATGATTTCTGGAATAGTAATAAGCCTCTATCTAGAACTTTCTACCAAAAGGGCTTCTTAAGCCCTTCCCCTTACTTCAGGGAAGTAAATTTATTCTCAATGATGATCATAATTATTTTTTAAAGTATTAAAAAAAACTAGTGTTGTCTAAAAAGAAACTTGGTGATATTGTAATCTAGAATATCAACAAAAACTTAACAAAATAAAATAATTACCTTAAGAGAGGGAGATCATTTATTTTCTAATAAACCTAGCCTTTCAGCTAATTATGCATTTAAAAGCACTAAGTTAAAGAGGAAAAGCTCAATTCACACAGGATAACTTGTTTATTTTACCACTGGGTTAACAAACTTTTGTGCCTCTTTTTGGGAACTGCGTAACATACACATACATTAACACAGCCCTAAAGAACTCTCCAACTAGATACCGTGGAAGAAGGGAGGAAAATTCTAGAAGCATATAAAAGATAAATCAAGATGAATCCCAATTACAAAAAAGAATTATACCAATTTTTGATGGAAATAACGTCTCATCATCCAACTGGTCCTGAACCCAGGTCATCAAGTAATCGATATACTTTGGTGCAGAGCACTTAATAGGTTTCTTGATGTTTGTTCCATCTGCCCAATGATATTCATATCTGCATTGGAGAGATAAAAAGCACACAGAAGATCAGTATATACCTATACATAGTGTATATATTTTATGTATATTACTAATGTACACACAGACACGTTTTCAATACTCTGCTCCTCCAAATAAAGATATATTTTTAAATTGCCAGTGGACTACTTTGCATTTATCACAATCCAAACTAAGTAGATCCCGGCAAACTCATGTTTTGTGTTTCGATACTCTCCTCAGGTCTGAATTTTTTTACATAGTTCTCATAAGTAGCATTTATATTTTAGAATCAGACACTATTTTAAGTAGAAAAACCAGCTTACTTCCTAGTTCTATGATGACCACTTTTGGACTTTATGGTTGTTTTTCTTCATTTTAGAAACCATTTCTCCTTATGTAGTGCAATTCTTTTTAACTTGGGGCTTTAAATTTTCCATTAAGGATAGAAAATGACACAGAAGTACCAAAATAAGACTAATGAAAATGAGAATTATTTAATATTTGAGTACATTGGCTGAAGGGCTAAACATGTCTTTAAAGAAGGTCCAAAGAAAATTTGCAACCCAAATAAAGGCTTTCAATATTAGCAGAACACCATCCTTTGATTCAATAAACATTTAATATATACCTTCCATGTGAAACATACTAAGTCAAGAACAAGAAACACTAAAATGAAAGCACTTTCCCTACTCTCAAGAAAAACAGACTAGTAGAAAAGATAGACTCAAAAGTGAAGATGTAAAAACAGTATGATAAGAACCCTAAAAGAGGCTGAGCATGGTGGCTTATGCTTGTAATCCTAGCACTTCAGGAAGCTGAGGTAGGTAGATCACTTGAGGTCAAGACTCAAGACCAGCCTGGCCAACATAGTGAAACCCCATTTCTACTAAAATTACAAAAATTAGCTGAAAATTGCTTGAACCCGGGAGGGAGAGGTTGCAGTAAGCCAAAATGGTGCAACTGAACTCCAGCCTGAGCAACAGAGCGAGACTGCATCTCAAAAAAAAAAAAAAAAAAAGAGCCCTAAAAGAGTTACACACACACACACACTGAATTTTGAGATAAGAAAGATGCATACAGGTGAAACTCCAAAGTGGAAAAGTCTCTAAGCTGACCTAGGATTTAGTATTTTAGTTTCCAAAACGTTACTTTTGCTGCTTAACTTCTCCCTTTGATTCAATTGTGTTTTTCTAACCCTGTCCCCAGAGTTTGGGCTAAATAATAGGTCAGTGAGACTGGGAAAGGAGATGGCAATATATAACAGAAAAATACTACAGGCTATTTCAAACTATAAATTATCTTCAGATAGGATAAATAAGGATGCCTTTCTATTTAATCAGAACTACTTATAGCTGAACAATAATATTAAACAAGATACACCTGAATTAAACATTCTGTAGAAAATTTTTCTGCCAAAGTGGGACAATAGGGTTGACTATCAAGTCCCATTTTGAAGGTCTACAAGGAGATACTTTCCAACACCTCTTCATATCCTGTTTTAACTGTTTAATCACTTTCACAGTCAAAAGGTTCTTTCTAATATAACATTAACATTTTTAGTGTCATTTAAGCCTATTTTATGTCCTTGTTTGCTACTCTTAGAAGACAGAGACCATGAATGGTGACATTCTAGCCATCATTTTGTCCTTTTTCTTTTTAAGACAGGGTCTTACTGTAGCTTAGGCTTAAGTACAGTGGCACAAGCGTAGCTCACTGCACCCTTGAACTCCTGGGTTCAAGCAATCCTCCCACCTTGGCCTCCCAAAGTGCTGAGATTACAGGTAAGAGCCATCATCCCCAGCCCATAATTATTCTTAAGAGACAGGGACACAACCATGTTTACTACCTTATGTTAAGAAACCTTAACATTTTTAACCTTCCCTCACCATCATGTTTTTCATCTTGTCAATCATTTTCAGATGTTTCACATTCATTTTTAAATGTAAAAATCAAAAACAAAGTAAACCAAAGAATCATTTTCAATATCCTGAAGTGTTTTTTAAAAATATCAACTTTCAATATCCGAAGGCTTTTTGAAAACTAACTGTATACTGCTTAGACCTTTAGAGTTTAAAACTATGACTCCCTAATCTCTTCTTTTTCTTTTGTCATATTTATACTTAGGATGACTTCTTTCATTCTGTAGCTCTATTTTGCCTCATTATCTTTCTCATTCCACCTCTGACAGACAATTCTCTTTGAAATTTATTTCTGTCATCACAGCATGAACTTGCAAACTGCAAACTCCAATTCACAATTTCTTTTTTAATAATAATAAAAAACAGTAAGTGAGGGCCAGGCGCAGTGGCTCTCTCTTGTAATTCCAGCACTTTGGGAGGCTGAGGAGGGCAGATCACTTAAGTCAGGAGTTTGAGACCAGCCTGGCCAACGTGATGAAACCCCATCTATATTAAAAAGACAAAAATAGCTAGACGTGGTGGCACGCACCTTTAATCCCAGCTACTCGAGAGGCTGAGGCGAGAAGATCTCTTGAACCTAGGATGCAGAGGTTACCATAAGCCAAGATCGCACCATTGCACACCAGCTTGGGAGACAGAATGAGACTGTCTCAAAAAAAGAAAATAAAAATAAAAAAACAGTAACTGAGAACAAAGTTCTATGAGCCATCATTCAATACCACTTTACAAGGGGCTTAGCATTTGTTAAATATTAACAAATGCCTCTCCTTGGCACAATCCTGCATCTGCTGGTAAAGATGAAGAACCCTGACAACAACCACATCCTCTCAGCACTAATAACTGGGAAGTGTCAAGATTCTCAAAAAAAAGAGACAGGGAGGGAGAGAGGAAAGAAAAGAGAAGGTAGAAGAAAAGGAATGCAGAGAAAGAAGAAAGAGAAAGAGGGAGAAATGAAGAAAAAGAAGGAAGAAGAGAAAGAGAGGGAAGCAGGCAGGCAAGGAAGGCAGGAGACCACACAGCTTTAACATCATGCACGCACACATGCGTACCGCAGCAGAGGCAAAGATCTCTCAAGCCAGGAGAACTGGCTCTCTTAGAAGGCAGTGCTATTTAACTTCTCAAGGCATAACTAACCATAGAATAGAAAAATTTAAAACATCTATTTTCACAAGTGAAACTTAACCAAAGTGAATACCAGTAATACTGACAAGAATAAAGTAATACTAAAAGGGAACTTATTTCATTTCTAAATGCCCCCATTCCTCTAAGAAATCTTCCCAAAATAACAAGTAACAGAAATTTACACTCTACCTTTGATGATAAAACTAGGAGACACCTATGTCTTTAAACCACAATTTTTTTTTAGACAGTCTCACTCTGTTACCCAGGCTGGAGTGCAGTGGCACAATCCCAGCTCACTACAACCTCCACCTCCCAGGTTCAAGTGATTCTCATGTCTCAGCCTCCTGAGTAGCCGGGATTATAGGTGCACACCACCACACTTAGCTAATTTTTTGTATTTTTAGTAGAGACAAGATACACCATGTTGCCCAGGCTGCTCTCATCCTCCTGACCTCAGGCAACGATCTACCAGCCTCAGCCTCCCAAACTGCTGGGATTACAGGTGTGAGCTACCATGCCTAGCCTAAACCACATTATTTTTTATAAGGGCTATCTTGACTAGACTTTCAAAATGGGGAGCTGGAGAGAACAAAAGACGCACCTCCAACTACAAATCCCATACAAAGTCCACAGAAGACGTTTCTCCAAAGTAAACAGTCCAGTGAGGGGTAAAAACCACAAACATACTTCTGCAGGAAGAGGTCTAAATGGAGGAAGGAAATTCACAGACATAGATTTTGAATAGCTCTGCAGCTATACTCATCTCTATGGGCTAGAAAGTGGTTCAAACGCAGCTTTGTGCCTTTCCTCGTGTGGTCTTCCTTTCTCTTTACTGAGAACTGCCAACTTCTTTTACCGCCTCATATGGTATCTCCATATCTTTCCTAAGCTACAATATTATACCTCTGTTATGGGCTCTTTGATCATCTGACTAAATTCTTTCAGTCTATGGCAATGCATAGAGCAATATTCTTATGATGAATGCTGACATAGGATGTAAAAGATATGTACGAAAGGCCTTACATTTAGGTACCACTAAGTAAATGGTAACTGCCATTGCTATTATTAGTAGTAGTAATAATAAAATCCAGTTTCCAAAATGTACTGATTCAACCCACGTTTTCTGGGCTTTCAAACAAGGTAGCAAACTCTGTCCTTCACCAAAAGGGATTAAAAGAACAAATCTAACAGGTTAAATAAAGTATGTATAAACAGCATAAGAAATATAACAAAGAAACATCATTATAAAGGTAAAAAGTTTAATCATCTGATGAAATCAGAAGGTTCTGACAGAGAAGCATTTGATAATAAACTTTAAGATCAGTGAGATTTTTTTGAAATATTGACAGAAAATGACAGGAGTGAAATGGGAGAAAAGAAAAATATCCAAGAAAAGAAAAGAATAAGTGAGCTTCCAGAGGGTAAAAGTAATGGAGGGGACAACAAAGAATGTCCAGTAATCTAGTTAGCACAGACCAGAGAAGATACATAAGCAAACACAGGAAAGGCAGGATGGAGGGTCACAAAGCCCAAGCTAAGGAATCTAGATTAATAGTCACTGGCAAACCTCAGAAAGAGATGCTAAGTAGAGAAATCACATGGTCAGAAATATTGTTCTTCTCCAAGAACCATAAACTAATATAAAAATGAGAACTGATCATTAACCATGTCTTACTTTGGGCCAGCTGACATCACTGGACAACTTTCTTCTGTACAGAAGTCTGTGATGGTTCCATAAAGCATGTTGATCTGATTGAAGAAATCCACAGCTATAAAGCAAATATCAGTTGTAAGTAAAACAGAATGGCTAAATTTAAAATGAAATTTTAATTGTACTCAAACAGAATAGGCTTTATCAGTATTCTTTCCCCAACAAAGAACAGGTGAAATGCATACACAGAAGTCTCAATACATTGATATGAGGATCTTGTGTTCATCCAATGACTCCCTTGAGAGTAAAAAGGCAAGCACAGAGAGGAAGAAATTACTTACAACACATCTAAACAACAAAAATCTTATATCTAGAATATATAAAATACTCATATAGATCAATAAGAAAAAGACAACACAGCTGAAAAACGTGACAGTTTTGAACTGTCACTTCATGAAAGAAGTTTCCAAGTGGTCAAATATCTTATAAAAAGATATCGGTAATCATGGAACTACAAATTTAAATGATGGCAGAATGCCATTCCACAGGCCCTAAAAAGGCTAAAATTTATTTGAAAATGCAACAAGGCAAGAATATCCATCACATTCTTAAAAAAGAACCAGGCTGGGCACAATGTGTCACACCTATAATCCCAACACACTCACAGGCCAAGGCTGGAGAATCACTTAAGCACAGGAGTTCAAGATCAGCCTGGGCAACACACTGAGACCTCGTCTCCACCTAAAAATGAAAATAAAATTAGCTGGGCATGGTGGTGCATGCCTGTGGTTCTAGCTGCACAGCAGGCTGAGGTGAGAGGACTCCTTGAACCCAGGAAGTCAGGCTGCAGTGAGCCATGATCACGTTACTGCACTCCAGCCTGGGCGACAGAATGACACTATGTCTCAAAACAAAAACAAAGGTAAGTATTAAGATTTATAACCCACAGGCCGGGTGCAGTGGCTCACACTTGCAATCCTAGCACTTTGGGAGGCCGAGGCAGGCGGATCATGAGGTCAAGAGTTCCAGAGCAGCCTGGCCAACACAGTGAAACCCCATCTCTACCAAAAATACAAAAATTAGCTGGGTGTGGTGGCAGGTGCCTGTAGTCCCAGCTACTGAGGAGGCTGAGGCAGGAGAATCTCTTGAGCCCAGGAGGTGGAGGTTGCAGTGAGCCAAGATTGTGCCATTGCACTCCAGCCTGGGCAACAAGAGCAAGACTCCATCTCAAAAAAAAAAAAAAAGACTGATAAAGCACAATGAATAAAAGAATATGATTTTGTACACTAATGGAATAGAAGAGAGACATGAGCAATTACTACATGACAGAAAAAGATGCAAACATAGATGAAACATTTGATTTATTACATAGCCATCATTGCAGAATAAGCAAAGGACAGTCTTTTCATAAATATTTCTGAGTCAACTGGTTATTGCTATGGGAAAAAAATAAAACCTGGCCAGGCACAGTTGGCTCATGCCTATAATCCTAGCACTTTGGGAGGCCGAGGTGAGAGAACGGTCTGAGGAATACAGCAAGACCCTATCTCTGCAAAAAATATTTTAAACATTAGCCAAGTATGGTGGTGCTCCCCTGCAATCCCAGCCACACTACTCAGAAGGCTGAGACAGGAGAAATGCTTGAGCAATTCGAGGGTATAGTGAGCTACGATCTCGCCACTGTACTCTATCTAGCCTGGGGCCAAAAAATGAGACCTTGTCTCAAAAAAATAAAATAAAATTTGACTCTTATGTCATACTCAAAAAGCAATTTTAAGTAAACTGTACCTCTAAATGTGAAAGGTAAGACAATTAAGTTTAAAAGAACATATTCATAAGCTTTGGCATTTATAAATTTCTTAAAAAGAACATAAGCCGGCCATGGTGGTTCACGCCTGTAATACCAGCACTTGGGAAGACCAAGGCCTTGGGAGGATCACTTGAGCCCAGGAGTTTGAGATCACCCTGGACAACACAGTAAAACCTCATCACTACAAAAATTAAATAATAAATAAAGTAGCTGGGCATGGTGGTCACACCTGTAATCCCAGCACTCTAGAACACTCTAGGATGCTAAGGTGGGAGGATTGCTAGAGCCAGGGAAGTTCAAGGCTGCAGTGAGCCATGATTGTGCCACTGCACTCCAACCTGGATGACAGGGCAAAACCTCAAAAAATAAAAATTTAATTTAAAAAAAAAGGAGGATAAAGAGCACTAATCATTAAGGAATAGTTTTCATGTTTCACTAGATTTGTTCCTAGGTTGACATTTTTGATGCTATGTATTTTTTCCTTTTGTTCATTTTTTTTTTTGGACTCCATTTTCTGGGAATGAGATATTCATAATTTTATATTGACCCTAGAGCTGACAACCTCATTAAATTCATCTATTAGTAATAATAATCATGGTATAGTAATAATAATCATAGTCTTTTAGATTTTCAACACATTTTCTTATCCAAAAAGGCATTTTCAGACCAATCAACATATTTACTTTTATTGGCTATGAATGAAAAAAATAATTCTTTCTTCCTTTCTAGTCAGTATATTTTGTATTCTTTTTCTTGCCTTACTGACTTGGTTAAGACTCCAGTAACTGGTTGGACGTGGTGGCTCATGACTGTAGTCCCAGCACTTTGGGAAGCCAATTCAGGCAGATCATCTGAGGTCAGGAGTTTGAGACCAGCCTGAACAATATGGTAAAACCTTGTCTCTACTAAAATACAAAAAATGAGCCGGGCATGGCAGAGGTACGCCTGTAGTCCCAGCTACATGGAAGGCTGAGACAGGAAAATTACTTGAACTCAGGAGGCAGAAGTTGCTATGAGCCCAGATTGTGCCAATGCACTCCAGCCTGGGCGACAGAGCAAGACTCTGTATAAAAAATAAGTAAATAAAGACTCCAGTAAAATACTGGTAATGGATATTCTTGACTCTTTCCTAAATTAAGAAAAAAATTCAACATTTACTATTATAATGTTATAGCTATTCTGCAAATAAATATCCTTTATCAGAAGAAAGTTCTTATCTATTACTTGATAGCCTTTTTATTATGAATTGATTTTGAATTTTGTCAAATGGTTTTCTGCACATATTGTTGTGATATGATTTTTCTTCTCCTTGATTGGCTAATGCAGTGAATCACAATGACAATTTTAAATTTTTTTTCCTAATTTTTTTTTTTTTGAGCTAAGATCTCACTCTGTTGCCCAGGCTTGGGGTACAGTCCTATGATCAGAGCTCAGTGCAGCCTCAAACTCCTGGGTTCAAGCAATCCTCTCGCCTGGACCTACTTGAGTAATCAGGACTATTGGCAAGCAACACCATACCTAGCTAACTTTTAAAACTTTTTATAAATAGTGGGACTCACTATATTGCCTAGGCTGATCTCAACCACCTGGTTTCAAGCAATCCTTTCACCTTAGCCTCCCAAAACACTGGGATTACAGGCATGAGCCACAACATGAGGCCCCCTCAAATGTTAAATTAACCTTTGTATTCCTGGAATACACTCAGTTTAGTCATAATGTTATAAACACTTAGAATGTTACTAGATTCAATTCACTAAATATTTTTATTAGGATTTTTACATTTAGGTTAATTTCAAAAGTTAGATGACCTGGTTTCCTTTCTTGTAATGTTCATGCAGAATTCATAAAACTAATATTTCTTCCATTCTCTGTAAGACCCAAAGGCTGGCATTATTTCTTCCTTAAATGTTTCATGGAAATATACTGTGCCAAGGTTTTTAAATGCATATAATTTTTTTTAAGTTTTAAGACTGTTCAAATTTTTTTATTTTAGTGTTAACTTTGATAAGCTGAATTTTTATAAGAATTTGGCTATTTCATTTAAACTTTCAAATCCATTAGGATACATTTATAACTTGTTCACAATATTCTCTTAGAACTTTTAATGCTATGTAAGATCTGGTGTGTATTTGCTTTTTTATCCCTGATATTGGTTATTTGTGCTTTCTAGTATTATTTTAAATAAATAATATTTTTTAAATAATATTTTTATTTTATAAATATTAAAAAAATTTTTCTTGATCAATCTTACCAGGGGTTATAAATTTTTAGACTTTTCAAAGAACAACTTTTTTTTTTCCACAATAAGGAAAAGTTTATTTAAAAAAAAAAAAAAATCCAAGAAATTTTTTTTGTATTTACATGTATCTATTTTACATTTTTTTAAATGTTATATAACAACTATATAAAATATTTATGTATACATATATACATTTATACTTTTTCCATAACTTTTTAAAATTAAATTTCAAAATATTTTTTTAAATTGCATTTTAGGTTTTGGGGTACGTGTGAAGAACATGCAAGATTGCTACATAGGTACACACATGGCAGTGTGATTTGCTGCCTTCCTCCCCATCATCTATGTCTGGCATTTCTCCCCATGCTATCTCTCCCCAACTCCCCACCCCCTGCTGTCCCTCCTGTTCCCCCCCAACAGACCCCAGTGTGTAGTGCTCCCCTCCCTGTGTCCATGTGTTCTCATTGTTCAACACCCGCCTATGAGTGAGAACATGTGGTGTTTGATTTTCTGTTCTTGTGTCAGTTTGCTGAGAATGATGGTTTCCAGGTTCATCCATGTCCCTACAAAGGACACAAACTCATTGTTTTTGATGGCTGAATAATATTCCATGGTGTATATGTGCCACATTTTCCCAGTCCAGTCTATCATTGATGGGCATTTGGGTTGGTTCCAGGTCTTTGCTATTGTAAACTGTGCTGCAACAAACATTCGTGTGCATGTGTCCTTTTAGTAGAATGATTTATAACCCTTTGGATATATACCCAGTAATGGGATTGCTGGGTCAAATGGAATTTCTATTTCTAGGTCCTTGAGGAATCGCCACACTGTCTTCCACAACGGTTGAACTAATTTATACTCCCACCAACAGTGTAAAAGTGTTCCTTTTTCTCCACATCCTTTCCAGCATCTGCTGTCTCCAGATTTTTTAATGATCGCCATTCTAACTGGCATGAGATGGTATCTCAATGTAGTTTTGATTTGCATTTCTCTAATGACCAGTGATGATGAGCATTTTCTCATATGTTTGTTGGCCTCATGTATGTCTTCTTTTGTAAAGTGTCTGTTC